CACACACACACACACACACACACACACACACACACACACACAAAACCTCTTGGGGCGATTTTCCAGGAGAGTCCAGCTGCCTCGCTCTCTCTCCTGTGTAATATATATGTATGTATGTATGTATGTATGTATGTATGTATGTATGTATGTATGTATATGTACACACGCACACACACATCTTTATGTTCTTTTTTTGGGGGGGGGGTAACCTCCCCAAAACAAAAAACCACCTGGAAGGGAAATGTAATAGTTTTACTTGAATTAATCACCCTTGGGTTGGAGTGGGGGGGGGGCAAAAGAGGGACTTTCGCTTGCTTAACCTCGACTCCTTTGGTAATACTGTTAAAAAGGGGAATGATATCCGTCCTTTATTAGGGGAGCGGATTCTTGGGTGGGGGGAGGATCCTCGATCTCAACCCCCCCCCCACCGGGGAGGTTGCTGAATGGAGACGCCGACCTCCGAGAACTGCAAGGCACATGGTCTGGGACTTGCCATGTGCTGCTGCTGCTGCTGGCGCTCGCTTCTCTCTCCTCTCCTTCGCTCTCCTCCGACGTCCTGGCGGCCTCCCAGGTTCCCCCCCGCCCTTTTGTTTAAGGAAGAATGTCTGCTTCGGATCAGATCACCTTAAAACACAGCCACACACAAACCGTATTCTAGGAAGTCGATCATTAGGCCGGCGCGGAGATCGGCAAAGGGAAGTCTTTTATTACAGCTCAGCCATAACTTATGCCTCTGTTTGGGGAGCTGGAGACTTTCCCTTTTAGCAAACCAAGTATGTATATATAGCACACTTGAGTTGTCCACCCCCTCCCTCCCCAGCCCCGGTGGTTTTTATAGTGCGAACAAACAGGCAGGGATAGATTGAGTAATCAAATACCTGGCTTGTTTCATTAGAGATACATCCTGCTTACCGTTTTTTTTTTTCCCTTTTAAATGTATTTTTTGCTCTGGCCAGAGAGCAAAAGCTTCAGACTTGGTCCACTTTCGCATAACTGCTTGGTGCAGATGCACCATAGCAAATGTTACTAGGAAACATTCAAAAATCTCAAGAAAGGATGGAAGGCTTTAGCTGCAGATGTTAGCTTTACATTTGCTCACACAGTAAGAGAGACAGAGAGAGCTTAGTCTTATTTCTCAATCATATTTTTTTTTTACTGGGAAGTGGGGTTAGCTGTCCTTTCCTTTTTATATTGGAGTAACATAAAATAGATCATAACTTCACTAAAAAGGATGAATAGTATTTATACAGCCAATTGAGATCACCTACATTGTTTTAAATTAGGTATTAACCTATATTTATTGATCACCTAAAATAATTTGGATGATCACAAAAAATATGTATCTGGCATTAGTTTTTACTACCAAGTATAAAATGTACTATCAAATGTGTTCAGTTTGGATTCTCTTGTGTTTTACATAAAATAATAATGTGTTCTTATTGCTAGATGTTGTTGAAACATTTATTTAATAGGGGTCTTATTTTAATGGAAATAAGCACCCAACAATTAACTAACCTGCAAAAAATAAATTACTTGCCTACTGGGAGAGACTAGTGGAAAATTGCTAGGTTTAGAAGAAGGGATTTTCCTCTTGTAGCAGTCTATTGGGTTTTTATAATTGGGCATGTATGGAATTTCATGCACTAATCCTACTGCAGCTCCTAAGAACCTATGCAGCTACTAAGATGCTTCTTAAATTCACACAACTACAAAGGCCCTCAAAACTGTGTAAGTTTAAATTGGGTGCGGAGTTTCTTGAGGGCAGAAAGATTGCCAGACTGGAAAAACTACCATAATGGGTTAGAGTGAGTTCTTAAAGATTTCACCATCCCTATGCATGTTTAATTCAGAGTGCTGAAAACATTTTTAAAAAGTTTTTACAATGCTTTGACATAGCTAGGTTCTCTTAATTCAATGCATACTAATTAAGATAGAATTTGATACATATTGAATGGGCAGTTGATGTGGACATACTGTCAAATCTGAATTCAAATGTTAAAATTATATTATGCAGTCTTATCATGTAGTGTTAATGGCATTGTATATTACATTTTGTGGCTTTCAATGTGCCTTGGGACTGCTATTACCAAAATTCTGTTGGAATTACAGTGTATTTCAGAATAGCATTATGCTGCATTTTTGAAGTGACAGAATGTTCTATTGTCCAAGATCTGACATAACCCATGTAAAGTTAATTATTGAACAGAACAAGTTGGAAAACTAATTTTTCCTCAAGTGAAAGAAAGTAGGGGGAAATCATGGCCACAGAGTTGCAGTGTAAAGATAAATAATGTGTAAGTAAAAATAATTCATTGGCTATTTGCTGATGAGACAATCAGACAATCAGAGATGGCTGTTATAATTTTCAGAAAGACAACATGGGTTTTCTTTGTCTTTTTGAATTGTATCCTAATCAGGTTTGGGCTGAAGGAAGTTCTATTGATGTCAGTGGCGCTTTTTAAAAATAGGATGGATGCTTAAATATTAATTAAAGATGTCCTGAATATGTGGACCAGTATCGTTCAGTTAGAAGGAAAGAAAATTTTTTTTTTCAAGCAGACTGTATGCTGCTGATAATGAGGTGGATGAAAAATAAAACAACTACTGAAAGTGCACTTAGGGGCATCTTTCCCCCAATTTGGTGTCTCAAAATTCTGTGAAATTTTAAAATCTGTTAACATTAATTTGTATTTTTCTGTTGAACTCCAGGTGTCTTGCGTACTGTGGTAGAGGCAGCTAAATCTGGAGTGTCTGTCCTCAGCGTATGTGAGAAAGGAGATGTCATGATCATGGAAGAAACTGGCAAAATCTTTAAGAAAGAGAAAGATATAAAGAAAGGTATTATGCAGCTACAATATTTTTTAAACATATCAATTGTTCCCTATTTAAATTCTATTATTTTGTGCATTAAAGTATGTAGAGGTGTTGATGTTGGAATTAAGGGAATATAGCCAAAGTATTTAGTGTTACCAGGAAAGCCTACCCAGATTTCCATCTCTTAACTTTCTTTTTGGGGGTTTGTACTAGTTACTAGGCTGTAGAACTGAAGGGTAAAGTGTGATGTGGAGCGATGCATGCAACCACTTTTCTTAGATTTGCATGGCTGCCTTCTACAGCTGATGTGCAGTGCCCAGGAAAAGATACATTTGGCTCAAGATAGAAGTGTGCACAAAAAGAACAATGGTAGGGCCTTTTTGCTTCAAACTAGAAACAAATCATATACTGGGGGTTTCTTACAAATCACTTCAAATCGATGGACCTCCCTTGATCTTTCTGACTTTCCTTTTCATCCTACTTTTCCTCATTTGCCATCCCTGCTGGCCTCGTGGTGATAGTGGGAGCTTATGTACAACGTATAGCCCTCCTTAATGTTCCAATGGCCATGTAAGCAACTGGCCTCTCTTTACTCACCTTTCACAACTTGCCATATTGCTGTTACTGATACAGGTGCACGTTGTTGTAAAGGAAATCTCTCAACTTTGGCTTTCTTTTTCTTTTAAATCCCCGCATGCAATATCTCTCCTTAAAATAGGCAGAGCAGTCTCTGAAGCAAAAGAACCTTATTTTATCTCAAATTGACGAATATGAAACACAGATCAGGCACTGATGTAATCTTTGAGGAAATGCCGTCTTAAAGACCGGCGTTGTTCAGAAATTTCCCAAAGATTTGTAACTTCTTCCTGGAAGGTGACATTCCATGCAGGAAGGGATCTTCCAAATTTTGGTGGAAGTGCAAAGACCAATGGAAGTTGACAGTCCTGGAGATACCTAGATCTTAAGACATGAAGGGCTTTAAAGGTGATAAGCAACACCTTGAATTATACTCACGTATGAAAACCAAACCACATCAATGTGGATTTTAAAGTAACATGAATGTGAGTCTTAGAGGCAAAGAATGTAAGCCTATTTAAAGCTTAATGGTATTATCTGGCCTATGTATTAGGAAGTAATCGGAAATGGGGTTCCTGATTTAAGTCAGTATCTTGAATGACTTTTCTTTGGTTCCAGAGAATAATATATTCTAATGTTTCAAACCAATGAACACTTGGAAGGCCATGATATTGAACAAAATAGGATTTATTTCCAACTGATCGCGCAATAAGATTACAGCAGTAGAGTGGCTGAATTCGCCTTCACCTCTTGACTGAGAGGTAGCTTCATCACATGCATTGTAATCTTTGGAAAGAGTCTGAAAAAATAGTTAATTCAGCTATTCATGGTTACACCTTAAAGTGTCTGTCTCTAAACACTGACCAAGCCAAAGAAGCTGTTGTTACGAGACAAGTTTGTGCAGCTTTAGTAAATACTGTATGCTCACAGTGTCAGCAGAAAAATAATAATTCAAACAGCAGTTTGTGGGGCAGATAAAGTTTCTGAATTATATGAAGATCCAGAGTAGGACTCCATTTATTTCTGTCTTGATTTAAACATGGATAAGCAAAACCAAGTCTCTAATAGTAATGTGATAAAATTTGTACAGTCAACTAATATATTTCAAGTTGGGAGATGTTATAGGACTAGTGTGAACTCACTGCTACTCCCTTTTTTGTGTAGGTATTGCCTTTCCCACAAGTATATCAGTAAATAACTGTGTCTGTCACTTCTCGCCCTTGAAGAGTGACCAGGATTACATCCTTAAAGATGGTGATTTAATAAAAATGTAAGTGCCTTTGATTAATTTTTTTTGCTAGTTTTTTTACTTAATTCATTTACTGAACTGAGCTACACAAGATGAGCCTCTCTATGAGATTCAGAAATGTATCACTGACATACTGTGCAGGACTGCTATTGACATAATGTGGATTTCCCATGACAGAGGCAGAATAAAGTTAGTTGGCTGTGCCCCTGCTTACCAAATCGTTGGTTTAGCTGCCAGAGGTTTTACTATAGTATATTTGAGACCCTGAGGACAAGTAACTTCTACATACAAAATTTAAACCTTAGAATGTCACAAGAATCATCCTTGTTTCTCATCTTAAAAAACATTTTAAAGCTTTTCCCCTCTTTGTGTTGCAGTGACTTGGGAGTCCATGTGGATGGCTTCATAGCAAATGTAGCACATACCTTTGTCATTGAGGCATCGAAAGTAAGTGATTTGCATGCAGCTTTGAGAAATCACAAAGAGTCAAAGTGGATTTGTTCCGGTAGAGGGAATTTATATAAACGGCATCCCTAAGTAGAAAGAACTTGGACTGGCGTTCCGTACAGATGGACACAGCAGTGGAAATGTCCTTGCCTTTCTCTCAGGTGTCTCTTTTTTAAAGAGTCTGTCCAGGAAAGGAATGAGAGATGGCCTTTCAAAAGGGCTGAGCCACCTTAGCCTGGGAAGCAGCAACAGAAAAGGGGAGGCCTATGTGCAGGCCAGAGAGGAAGAAGTCAGAGAAGGCCAGGATGAACATGGCAGAGGGATGGCGTGGACAACAGCCACAAACTCTGGCAGACACAAGGGAGTGTGGGGTGACCCGTGAACCCATGGAGGGATCTTGGGGAAAACAATAACCCAATTACTAACCCTGTTGTCAGGAAAAGGAGGTTGAAAGGCTTGCTAGGGAAAGCTAAACCCCAGTTCCACAGGAGAAGACCAAGGTCAACGTCACTTAGCGGAAAAGGAATCTAAAATATAATTAGAAAGGCAAAGAACACAGTGGTGCTTTAGGTTATCTATCGGCAATGAATGCTCTTAAAGACCTAAGACATCAGCTGCCCTCTCTTGCCTTGCTTTTTGGCAGTGGGTTAGAAGAGGCTGCTAAAGAGGCAGGGAATGAAGCCAAGATCAAGTATAAACCAAAGGACAAAAAGAAATGTATCAAAATCAGAGTCAAGCACAGAACATGTAAGAGTTTCTAGACTAAGTCCCCTTTTGACTCTTTCCCCCTGGCTCAGCTAGTTTCCCCTACATCTAGCCCCCTAGGTATTTTGGAAAGGTACTTCATAAACATGATCTGAGATCAAGCTGGCTTAAGTTTGACTGTATAAACCATGTTGTAGGCATGTGAAACCATGGCTTTCAGGTTCTCTTTTGCTAAATGTCCATACTTAAGGTTTTTATTCAAGCAATTTGCTCCTAGTGACACTTCTTATCAGAAATGTTTATGCTGAGTGAATTTATCATCTGCCAGTGGCTGCCTCTATTAATGGGAGCGGTTGAATCTGTGTATAATGTTGATCTCTATCACTGCCCAAAAAAGCAAACAGCTATATTGATTGATCAGATATTATTCACAGCTTTTTGAAGGATTTGACCTATTCAGTTTGACCAAGGCAGTCAGGGAAAAAAAAGATATCAAAATTATTAGAACCACAGATGGTAATGAATAATAAAAAATTAAGCATGAGTCATGCTGTGTTACATTAAGGTGTCTTGTTCTTCCAGTAAGTTGCTGCAGATATAGCAATAGGACATCTCTGAATTCATTCATTCGTTCGAATTTATTACAGTCATCCAACTCTAGTGGACTCAATGAAATAATTAAATCAGTCTAATAAAGAATAATGGCCATATGGATTATTATTTCTGTTTGTTGGCAGTTAAAATTTTTGAATCATAGGAGGTATTAATCTGGCATCAGAAGGATACTGGGGAAAATAATATCTCGTGGACCACAAATGTCTTGCAGGTCTTATGTGGCAAAGCATCTAAACCTAATGAACATAAAGTTTCATATAGTCGTGAAAGTCAGGGGGAAAAAATCACTTTTAACCAGGTTATATCTTAAACAGAATGTTTAAATCTGATAAGTTTTTCTTACATGTCAACTAAAATGTTCTCTTTTTTTCACTTTTAAAACGGATGCTTCTCTATTATTTTCTCTCCCCGTGTCAGGAAACTCCAGTGACGGGTCGCAAAGCTGATGTCATAAAAGCCGCTCACCTCTGTGCTGAAGCTGCCCTGCGCTTGGTCAAGCCAGGAAACCAGGTAAGGAGAGGCAGCTTTTCACATGGATTGTGGCAGTTTGAGGAAAGTGGCCAAGACTTTCCAGCTCCCGTTCAAGCTTGAAATAATTCTGAATATACAAATAAGAAACTTGACTTGAAATGTGACTTGAAACGTCACTTCTGGTTTGCTCGTAGGGCCGATTTTCGACCTCTGGAGCCTTCAGGGAAGCCTGAAGGCTCTGGAGGTTGAAATCGGCCCTATGGACAAACCGGAAGTCACCATTCCCGAACTTCTGGGTTCCCTGTAGGCTGGTTTTTTGCCCTCCGGAGGCTTTAGGGAAGCTCCTGAGGCCTCCGGTGGGGGAGGGCTATTTTCGCCCTTCCCAGACTCCTAGAGAGCCTCTGGAGTATGAGGAAGGTGAAAAAACCACGGGAAAGGGGAGGGGGTTGTCGCTGATTGCGCGCATGCACGCACCCTGAGGGGGTCGTGCACATAGCATGGGTGTGTGTCCCCCCCCCCCCAGTGCTCCCTCCACTTTTGGCACGGCAGCCAAAAAAGGTTTGCCATCACTGTCCTAAGTTTTTATAAGCTTAGCTTTTCCCTTTAGCATCTGGCTCTTAAATTGGAAGCTTTTTTCCTTCTCTTAGAATATAGAATAACTTTTGTGTTACAGCTTTGGAGTTCATATTATAGTGTTAGGCCATGCACCCTTTGTAATTGATTGGACCTTTATGACCTCGCCAAATGTAATGCCTCTCTGCTGGTCCTTCAAGCATAGGTATCTTGCAGTTTTCAATGAGGAACTAAAAAAAATCACCTGTGCTTTAATGAACATTATAAATTCACATCCTATGTCATACATTTCTTTAAAGAGTGAAATAGGAAATAGGCTATTAGGCACAGTTTTTAATTGCATTATATAGTCCTATTTGAATGGTGTCCATATTCTTAACAGAATTCACAAGTAACGGATGCCTGGAACAAGATTGCTCATTCGTTTAACTGCACACCAATTGAAGGTAAGAGTTGGCTGGATGAAGAGTGAAGTTGGTGCAGAACAATGCAGGTGGTTCTTGACTTAATGACTGTAATGGAGCTTGCCCATTATGGTCATAAGTTGTAACAGTCTTTGTGATTGCCTTGCTTAATGACCTCAAGCCCTGCTCTCCCGATTGCAGTTATTAAATGACTGTATAGGTCATTAACTGGAGTACATGGGGCCTTGTGGGGGGAGCTCTAGCTCAGCCCAGCCCTGCAGCATGTCCCCAGCTTACATTGACCTACTCCGGGTTCCCACACACTGAGATGCACCATACTCCTCTTTCTGCCTAGCTGTATTCCCTCAGGCCTTGGGCCTGCTTCCCACCTCTCTGGGTCTCACACCTTCCTCCCCACCTCCCTGTCATGGAACTGGCCGCTTACTGTAAATCTCCTTTGGGAAGCAACCATTCAACTATGCTGTCTCCCTATATTATATAGTACAGAGACCATATAGTGCCATCCTGGAAGCAGGCCTCATTTTGGGAGTGGCTGCAAAGAATTGTTGCCACTCCAAAATGGAGCCTGCTTCCAGGATGGCACCACATACTTAGGGAAGCTGCCTGGCAGATCAGCTGGCTTTCCTTCCCAAAGGCTTCTTCCCATTCTTCTGGGTCTCACAACATCCTCCCCACCCCCATTACCGATCAGTCTATTTACCTTTTATTATAAATCTTTTGGAAGAAGCCACTGCGCCATGCAACCTTCCTACAAAGCTGTGGAGAGCGTGTTGAGAAAGGACAACAGGTCGCTCTGCCCCTCAGCATCCTCACAGGCTGTGTGGCTGTCCCAAAAGCAGACACCATTTTGAGAGCAGCCACAACTAATGTTCCCCGCAGGGCCCCTGTGGAGAAGGAAGCAGAGCATGGGGTGACTTAGGGAGCGGGGGAGGCCTTGGGAGGCTCGGGGCAGGTGGGTTGCACCTGCACTAGGTCTTCCAGAATTTTCTTCATACCCGAGGTACTCCACTTAATGACTGCATAAGAGAAACCAGGGATGGGCAGGCTTCAATACAGTTGTAAGTAGAGGATTAACTTGCTGAGTGGTAACTTTGAACAGTGGCTGAATGCGGGATCATAACCCAAGAACCACCTGTAACATGTTTAGAAATGCACTCATTGCATTAGTGAATACAGTCAGCTGCAGATTCCTATTACCATGCAATGTATATAGAAGGACCATGTTAAAAATGAACACAGTGCAATTGTGTTTACTTCACAAAAATGCTACATAAATGGGATGAAGTTGACACAAGCAACATGAAAGTGCAAAACCTTGTGGGGATGAAAAACAATGCAAGAGAACAAAAATGTGGTATAAAATATTATTGAATAGGAGTAGAAAAAGGGTGAAAACATTAGGATGTGTGAAGCACCTGGAGATTGGGAGAATAGGGAAAATTTAAAACAATCTAACTTAACAGATGTGCAAATGTCACATCATAGAGGCTGTGGCTGCCTTTGTCACAGCATTAGACTTGAGTTGTGTATCATTATTTAGGGCAATGAAATGTAAAGATGACCTCTGAATAATTTCAAAGAATTTTACTGCCAACTACCAGTAGCAACAATATCGCATTTTCCTGCATCAGCTTTGATTTGATAATGAGTATAGCCAGACATTTAAGCAAAAATGTATTTCTGGTATTAGTTTTGATTTCAAAACACAGGATCGTATCATGTAAGCCTCCCTTACAGTGGTGGGTTCTGGATCCCGTTCCAACCGGTATGCCCAGCGTCGTCCACATGGACGGGCGCAGCACACACACACACACACATCTGTGATGCTCCAGTTGCTCAATAGAGCGTCACGCAGGCGCTGTATGCACCGTGCGCAGAAGCGCCAAAGACTTAAAAGACCGGTAAGGAGCTCGGGTGGGCCCTCCGGAGCACCTTACCGGGACAGTATCCAGTGCTCTGGACAGGCTCGGGTGGGCCCTCCGGAGCACTTTACTGGAGCGGTATCTGGTGCTCCGGGCAGACTCCGGTACGCTCGTACCGGGGCATACCGCCTGCAACCCACCACTGCTCCCTTACAATACCAATACTAACATAAGCTCTTTTCTTGTTAGGGATGCTATCACACCAGCTAAAACAGCATGTGATAGATGGAGAGAAGACCATCATCCAGAACCCTACAGACCAACAAAGGTATGAGACAATTTAAAACTGATGCTCACCTGTTTTGAGAATGATTTGCGGGTATTTGTTTAAATGAATGTTGATGGGAAATGAAATGGAATACATGATTTTCAATTCGTGTATTATTCTGCAACTTTCCACACCCTATTTGGATGGAAATGGTCTTTATATGTTTATTCCTTATCCAGAAAGGACCATGAAAAAGCAGAGTTTGAGGTTCATGAAGTATATGCCATTGATGTTCTTATCAGCACTGGAGAAGGAAAAGTAAGTCTTTTTTATAGCTTACCTGTAAGTGGATATTCCAAAGACACCCAACCTCATATAATATAATAATATATATTCCTGACTGGCTTGCTTGGCCTAATGTCTTGGAAAATCCACAAGTTGCTAATTCCTGCTGAATTAATGAAAGTTAACAGAGTGGTTGGTTTCTGTGTTGGACTCCCTCCTGACGTATTGACCAGGATATTCAGATGTTCAAAGACTGTGCTATTCTGTTATATAGTCCCAGTGTTTCAAGAAAGGCAATAAATTTGATCCTGCCATATTTCCATACAATATTTAAATGTTACTCATGACGTGGTTGCTATACATCTGCATGAGAAACACACTGATTGGCTAGAATAGCAAATTTGGCTGAAGAACCAGAAACTTCAGAACAAGTTGAACAACAATAGATCAAAGTATTATTCTAAGTCATATGGTAGAAGAATAATTCTTTGGTTCTCAAGATTCCCTTTATGCCACTTTTGTAATTTGCAAGCAGCTTCTGATTCATTATGGTGAAAAAATATTAAATACTTATAGATCACTGTCTTTTTGCACTCACAGCAAACAGGATTTTTTTTGGCTGCAATTTCTATTCTAAGAAGAGGCTGCATCCTGGCCTGTTTTAAATTTAATCTTTTATATCCACTCCCTAATTCAAGCTCTAAGAAAAAGTGAATTTTCTGCCCAGTATCTGTTTTGGTTTATGCTGATGATACAGCCATTCATTTCTGAAACAAATTGATCTTCAACAGACCACAAGCCTTAAATACTTATTGCAGGGAAGAAAAATTAGAAATTAATTAAACAAATGCCATATTCACAAAATTAGGTGCAGATGACCTTTATGAAGAGAAACTGAACAGCAATCAGACTGAGCAAAAAAATCCTTTAACTACATTGTGTTAAATGTTTCAGTATCTGGGATTACTTCATCTCACACAAAATGTTCAATGCTGTAATTTGATTTGCCAACCAGCATAGAAATCACAGAGGCACCGGCAAATCATTTTTCAAATATCTTGCCAAGAAAACTGCAGGGACGTGTCCTGGCAGTCTGTTAGAATGTAACATGACTGAACGGAAGAGAAGAAAATTGAAATAATTGTGTTTCCTTGCAATCATACTTTTGGGGGACAACATACTGAGCTTGTGGTGCACAAATCTATACCTAACATGTTGCAAAAAATGGAGGCAATTCAATCCAAGTTTTTAATAGCAATACTTCATGACCCTCATTGTCTTCAAGCATGAGCTTGAGGCTCACATTGGATTGTGTGTCAATCAAGGCCTGCATGAGGATTAGCCAATTGAAATACCGGCTAAAACTAATTTTGGCGGGAAAGATCTCTGCCCAGTTCACAAATTGTTATTTGTATGTTTTACATACCAGTTAGGTCTACTATTCTAAATGAATAAGCTGGGAAATTCACTTACATTGGGAATGATTCTATAAAATCAAAATTGCATTTCAGAAAGGTTGGGATTTTTTTTTCCTCCTCTCTTGCCATATGGTTGCCCTCACAAGAGTAAACCTGAGACTGTGTTGCTGGAACTGTTATGAATTACCCTTGTTTGTTTTTAGGCCAAGGATGCTGGGCAAAGAACTACCATTTACAAAAGGGACCCTTCCAAACAGTATGGTTTGAAAATGAAAACTTCCCGTGCCTTTTTTAGTGAGGTGGAGAGACGATTTGATGCTATGCCTTTCACTCTCAGGTTTGTATGTAACTCTCAATAGCAGGCCTTCCCCTTGACTACTCAACCGTTGAACAATTCTTGCCATTGAATAGTTTCTGCTCAATCTAAAACAAAATAGTAAGTTATATTGTAAAAGGCAGGTTTTTTTAAATTGCATAGCTCAGGGATATGAAGGTTGATGAGGCTAGCTTGTGGTTAAGAAGCATAACAGCATAACAGCTGAAGGAATATAAGAGATTGTATAAGGGAAGTACACTAACTAGGTGTGCTAGTTTACTAAACTGGAGTTGTGTAATCATGAATCAACAAACTGATTGAGGACATTGGCACAATATGCCAAAATAAATAAACTACATTGTGACTTAATGCAATTATGAACAAAGCTCCTTACAAGTTATGAAGGAGTCTAGTACTTTATTCAGTCCTCTTTCTGGCTGGTATGAAAACTTCCCGGGTCTTTTTTTAGTGACGTGGAGAGACAATTTGATGCTATGTCTTTCACTCTCAGGCAGTGTCCAAATCAAATTTGCAGTCATAAAGGCTAGAGCAGGTAAGCTTCCTTTGGAGCTGAATCCTGTAGCTGGTGCCAAGTTGTTTACTTGGATAGATGCAGGATTCTTTGCAGTTTGGAGCCAGCTTATTTTCCTGAAAAGACTAACATAATTGTTGAGTAATCAGAAAACCCCGAAAGATGAATGGTTGGATTCTGAATCTGTTCTTCTGTTTCCCACAGGGCATTTGAGGATGAAAAGAAGGCCAGGATGGGTGTAGTAGAATGTGCCAAACATGAGCTGCTCCAGCCCTTTAATGTCCTCTATGAGAAAGAAGGTGAATACTTGCTGCTGAATGTCAGAGCTATTTTGGTCTTGCATCAGGCTAGACAGTTTCCTTCCAGAGGCAGTTGCTAAGCATTGCAATGCAGGATGAGAAACCATTGGCCTTTCAGGTGTTCCTGGAACCTTCCAGGATCCCTAATCACTGACCAAGCTGCTTTGGAAAATAGGAAAAGGGGGTGGTGGTGTCTAATTTGTGAGAGCCCTGAAATCCGGTGTAACTGCAGGACTTCCCTTCCTTGGCAAATTGGAAGAGGCTTGTTTCCATAGTTCAGCGAGGCTTGGCACATTTTAAAGCAAAAGGGCATCTTAAGCCTGAGATAATAATACCAGTGATAGAACTTACGACCGTGGCGGAAGGGGAGGAATTCATGGTAGTTGCAAGTTATAATTGAGCATTTGCCAGCCAGGTTTGTGGCTTTTGGCTCAGGGGCAATGATAACTCGGGCCAATAAGCAGACAAGAAAAGTGCTGCTCAGATAGAAACCTGCACAAAATGCTGCCTTGAATTGATCAAACTTTAGAGGCATGGAACCAATTCATTTTCCTTGTGGGAAGAGATGGGGCAGAACGAAAGTAATGTGATCTTTTGGTGCATTATGTTTTCTTGCTGTGCGTTCACCTTGTTGCTAATGGTTGCTTGTCTTGCTCTCTTGTCAATTCTCTACTCTCCTCCCTCTGACTAGGCGAGTTTGTGGCACAGTTTAAGTTCACGGTGCTTTTAATGCCCAACGGCCCCATGAGAATAACCAGTGGCCCCTTTGAGCCTGAACTCTACAAATCAGAATTTGAAGTTCAAGATGCCGATCTGAAGGTCAGTTAACAACTACTGTGCTCCTGTAAGAATCAAAGTCACAAGAACAAAATTTGTCGTAGCGAAGGGAATGGTTTGAATTTCCTATTCTGGCGGTAAAAACACCATGCTATAAATATTCATTATTCTCCCGCACTTATTTAACATGTGTAACATATCCAAATTTCATAAATTCAGATCAGTAGGCATATCTGTGCCACTATGCCGAATTCACCGGAACTGGTGAAAATTGTTTTGAATTAAAATTAAACATTTTTCCTGTCTTAAGTTAGTTTATATTGTGAATTATATAACCATTAAAAAAAAGAGATATCCACTGACTCTTCCAGGTTTTTCTAGTCATGTCTACTATCCAATAATTCTCTGCAAATAGGTGAAAATTGAAGCCGCTGACTCCAAGGGTCCTGTGGCCTTGCTCCTTGTGATTCCAAGTGTTAAACATTCTAGGGCTGGTTACATTCCTATAGGGCTGGCAGGAATTTCTTTGTTGTCTTAAAACAAACCAGAATAACCTATTAGGTATCTTCACTCCAGATATTTTTTCCTCTTTTTCTAGGCACTCCTACAAAGCTCAACAAGCCGTAAAGCCCAAAAAAAGAAGAAAAAGAAGGTAACTTGGCTCTGGGATGCATGATGATGTAACTCGGTTGAGTTCCTGCAAGTAGTGACAACTCAAATATTTTTATGCCTTGGATCATTCTTACCAGAGCTTCTGCCTCTGAGTAGATTGTTAAGTGTAATATGTAATCCATACGGTGTTATGTTATATAATGTTGCCTAGTTCTGTAGACCTAATTGAGTCAAGTGACTTGGAAGATTAGGAAAGCTTGCTAACTCCAGGATAAATGAGGTGTAATCATTTAATAACCTCTGGCAAATTAACTATACTTACTTCTGGGACAGGGCTGTTAGACTCGTGGCCTGCAGGCCTGATGCGTCACGCACTGGCCACGCCCGATTTAGCAAAGGGGGGGGAAAGTCATGATACATTACGTGATGCCGCCTTGACGACATGAGTTTGACACCCCTGTTGTAGGAG